AAAAGTGAGCTCAACTAGTCCTGAGAAGCACGAAGTTCTCTCTTTCGAAGCACTTGCAAGCAGTTTCTTGAGCCATTGAAGTCATTCAAGTGAGAAGAACCTCCGTTGAGTATCATATCGAAGAAATGTAATCTACCCACCTTTTTCCATCCCTTTAGTAACTCAGCCCTCTTTGAGATTATTCGCGCTTTTTATCTTGTATTACCTTTGTACGATATTAGAACAAAATGTAGTCGAGGAAGTATCTGTACTAGCACAACTTTGTCCTGAACTCATTCCTGAACTTATCCCCCCGCCCTCATAGCAAAATACGACCTCTCGAGGAATTCGCGATGCATGCTTGACCCTTATTCCGACTCCTTGGGGAGTGAAGCCACTTAGAACAGCATCGTTTTCGGTGCGTAGACCCCCGCCTTGACAAAGTCCCTATTCATTTTATCATTTAACAAACCTCTTAATACGCTGTATACGGCAAACACCCAATGAATGCCTCGGCAATTCTAAAAAAGTGGTGGTTATATGGCGCAGCCAAAGTCATTTGAGCAGTGCTGAGCGAATTTTCTCTCTCCCTTCGAATAGAATTTCGGCTGGGTCTGTTATTTTTAGGGATGATATATTGAGACCTTTCTAGAAGTTTTCTTATTGCAAGAGGACGGACAGTACGATAAGGGAGACCATGATAAGACGGGTCGAAACTACACCTGTTCTTGAACTGAGTCATCTTGAACTTCCCTACTTTTCATTTAGGCCTCCCTACTCGTTCTTGTGGACTTTTAGGGATCATTTGAACCATTCACCAATTTTCTCATTCAATAAATAGAGATTATGATGGACGACCTGATTGAAGGTTTTTAGGACTCCCACTGGGTTCGACCACAGAGCAGGGCGGGCCGACCAACTTACACATTGCTGAAAGCGAGACTTGTCGTTTCAATTAACGAATTGCTGGCAGTTGAGTCATACTAATCACTCCTACAGGAGCGGTTTGGGCGCTACCAAGGGCTATTTGGGCACCCAAAAAAACTGATAAATGAGTAACTCCCTTATTCCCACTTTATAGTCCTCCAAGGGGGTCAAAATCGGGGGCGACTATTTCGATCTCAACTATTCTATTGGATATAGACTCCGTGTGGTTCGGCTTATGTCCGTTTATGTCACATGTGGTTGTCTACGCCCGTTGTCAAGCAGACCCCACAAGTCGGCCTCTCACCGCATGCATAAATTATTCTCGTTTTCCACCACTGGCTTTCTATCTATGTATTACTATGCAGTAACCAGTCGTCGGTACCTTCTCCTATTCATTTAACGGCCAATTCTGGGCTCTTTCCTTGGTTAATGCCTTCAATTTTACCAGTAACTGATTATTTTTGCATATAATTTGTCAAAAATAAATGGTCGTCGACCGCTTGCACTGCAGTGAACCCTGCACCTGACTGATGACCCATCAACTTCAGTTTATATGCCAGCTAGAATATTTTATTAAGATTATGCGTTAGAAACCCAATTGGCGAGAGAGAATTGATCAATTTCACCAAGCATTAGGCTGTAAGTGCATGGCATTTGATGGGGGGAACTTCCGTTGCTGACGTTCTCCAACAAAGTCGTTATAAAGCTCTTTCGGAAGGGCGATTCATGAGTCTTTTCGTAAAAGACATTTCTGACGATCAGCAGCACGATAAAGCTCATGCCAACAACTTCTTCCTATACCCATCTCCCTAAACCAACATATCCTCCAACATTTTCCCCCTAACCTTCCTGTAGGACGGTGCTGGTATTCCGCCACCCTACCCTACCCTTCAACATCTTCCCTATGTCATCCAGTTATGCTTACCGAGTACCTTTTTAAAAGCATAACTACAGATTTGAAATAACCCCTTGAGGATTCCGGATTCCGTGTAGGCACCGCGTATATACCTGGGGTTGAGACTCGAAAATCGCTCCCAATGAAACCTTGGAGTAAACAAGGTCAGACGAGGTGCTCTTATCAGATCGAGGGCCAACACCTATTCATATTGCACCTGGAGTCCGCTCCTGTGTCCCTTGGTTACGGATTACGTGATTGAAATTCATGTCAAGTCGAATATCTCGTAGGTTTCCTTATAGGTTTCCTCCTAGTTTTTGCAGAGGTGGCTGCAAAGGGTAACAAAAGGACCTCCCTATTTCTTGCAGAAATTCCTGAGTCATGCAAAGTCTGGGAGACTAACTGGTAAGGGGCTTTTTATCGTACACAACTGGAAAAGAATCACCTGATATGGTCGATTATTCAGCAGATTTTTTTGTGGACTTGTCAAACCGGCTCATAAGCAGTCTGGTTTGGTTTGATGACTTTTTGTTTAGTTTCGTGTACTGCAATCTGTCTTTCCACTCAATTAAACCAACGGCGCAATTCCCTTTCCCACAATTACTCTTTAAATGCTCCGCGATAAATTTTTTAATGTAGCGTGCCAGAAACCAATTTTATTTGCTTATTAATCCCACTGATTCTTTCGTTTTGGCACGCCCACCTACCAATCAAGTCCACCGAACGTCCAGGATATGGCCAGGTGCCAGATTTAGGTAGCTTGAATTCTGAACAGAAACTGTCCCCTATGTAATGTGGGTATAGTGTAATCTGATGTCCTAGGTAAATCTATCTGGGAGGCTGAATCATATNCCACAATTACTCTTTAAATGCTCCGCGATAAATTTTTTAATGTAGCGTGCCAGAAACCAATTTTATTTGCTTATTAATCCCACTGATTCCTTCGTTTTAGCACGCCCACCTACCTATTTGTTCACAGAATCATTCACTGCTCAAGTCCACCGAACGTCCGGGATATGGCCAGGTGTCAGATCTAGGCAGCTTGAATCCTAACTCAAACAGAAACTGTCCCCTATGCAATGTGGGTATAGTGTAATCTGATGTCCTAGGTAAATCTATCTGGGAGGCTGAATCATATCGCCCGAGTTCCGTTATGGGTATTGGCAGTTTGGAACTAATTCGCTGAATCACTCTCTATACTGTTCAACCAACTCATTACTTTAACCATGGTACTTTGAACAGTTCGTTTTCTCTGGGAAGTGCTCTCCCACTGAGCCTGAACATTGCCTTTCCCATACTCATCTTGTTTTCCCAATTGGCTAGGTGTGGTTGACTTGTAGTTGTTTTTTGTTTATGAACAAAACACCTGAATATTACAATGGAGAGATTTTTCTGATTTCGTATGCGTGTGACCGCTCTCACCTGTATGACAACAATGAAATCGTATTGATTGTTTTTCAAACTCCCGTGTGAATTATTTCTTCCTTATTATTTTTCCATGATCACCAGGTTCATTTTGAAAGGATTGATTCATTATTGCCTTTGACCAAGAATGTTTTTCTTCTACACTTGATTCATTCGTGTTATTCATAGGCATATATTGCTTTTCCCCCTCCCATTTCTTTTTCTCCATCCAAATGACCATTAATTTCTTTTTAAATCGATCATAATGAAACTCAGAATTTCCTTCACTCATAGCGAATCACACTGTTCTTCAGAAAGCCTTTCCAGTATCTCCCTAGGGTAATTCTCCAACTTGTTCGTGGAAGGTGAATAGTTTAGGCTAGAATTTTTTTTTTCGCTTGAATAGAAGCGGTTTGCTCCCAGCTTTGAAGCGTGTTTGCTTTTCCTTTCCTTGCTTTTGATCCTTCGACGATGTGGTTGTCAAGTAACTATTAGTATCAAAAAGTTAGGCATTACGTGGTCAGGGTTAATAACTGGCAATATCTGGGAAAATGGTGGAAATTGGGCGGTTCTAGTGGAGAAGGTTCACCACTTGTTTGTACGCCCTTTCCTTGCCGTCCCTAACCCACCCCGTATGCGCCATGCTTTTGAACTACCAGTCAATGGCTAGAATGTGTTAGAGTAGTATGTGCCAAAGAGCCGACTCGTGGAAGATGTCGTCCTTTTGAGAATTGTCCTTCCTCGTCGACACTGTTCTCAGCCTTCAAAAATATATACTACAAATAGATTGACCCCATCATTTAGATCCTTCAGAGAAACCGTGAGAACTTCATATGTAGCGCCATCAAAGCGAAAAACAGTGTGGAATGTTCACTGAGTGCTCTAACCTCAACAATGACCTATTCCTCCTCTGCTACCTTGTCACTGAGTTGGCCGGGTAACACTGAGTCTCAGCACTTATAGCACCAATCCTGTGCCGTTTCTCTCCATGACAGTGCTGCTATTCGCCATCTTGAAGGCCAAAGCGATAATATGGCAAGATCGATTTGATGGCGGATTGTTTCTTTGAATGCCGAAATGCTTCACTGAACTCTGAAGTTCATTCCTTTCCCGACCCGCAGGTGATTGCTGTGCAAAACTCTCCCGATAGGAGATCGAGAGTTGATAATGCGATAAGAACTTTTGCGACAGGGGGACGCAATGTCCCAGGACTGTGTACGCCAACACAGCTGAAGAACGTTCATTCGGATATGTCAATAAATCAAAACATAAGAAATCATACAGTTGAGGCGTAAACATCCCTAAAATGCCATAGAAAAGGATAACTTGGACGAACTCGTGTGTATTAGATTGCCAGAGAACATTACTTCGATGCATGGATAGGTTTTAAGTGGCGTGTAGGGCTTTTCCTGGAATGAGGGTATTCCTAAATTTCAGGAGTGCTGGGGACAACAGATTGAGCTTTATTAAGGTTCAGACAAGAGTCAGTTGGTTCTCTTGCTTAGCTTGCAGTCTCATCACGCCCAAGCACAAGGGTGAGGAAGCCCCAATAGGAATACCTACAACTTGACAGTTTTCCTTCTCTTGCAAATTACTTGGCTGAAGTCGACTTGAAGAATCATGCTTTCCCTGCTGTGAAGATCTTGCTGGTCTAGACTTATCATTTGTGTTCTCCTTCTAAGACATCTCTCTCGTATTGACCGTTACGTTCATCTTGTCAGTCCGAGATGGTCTTGTGTCGTACTTTCAGGGTTTGAGAGACTATACCCATACTATTTCAGATATTGAGCTTTAGATGACTGCTATTCGGATATCCGACACTGATCGAAAGCTCATTGATGAGCTCAAATCAAAAATCCAAAACGAATTGGAACTTGTTCCATCGTATTCGGATGACCTGTCGCTTCTGCGTTGGCTGGTTGGATGGGATCGAAAAGTGGGTGAGTTACGGTATATCTAACCAGTATTATAACCCAAGTATCATTGTATATTTGCAGATGTGATCGTACCAAAGATCAGGTTCTCTTTACGAGCAATTCACGCATTGGGACTCCATAAAGAAGACCTATCAACGCTCGAAAAGGTCACTGCAAAGTGCGATGAATGCAGTAAACCTTTACAATACTTACCTGGTAAGTCCAAACAGGGCAACCCAGAAGGCAATTCGTAAATGACCCTTTGTGAACAGGATCTCTTCTTGGATTCGACAAGGAGGGAAATGTGATCTCGCTACAGATGATTGGCCGCCTGGATGTGGCCGGCCTAATGCCCTGTACACGTAACTCTGATCTTTATCGGATGAGAATCGCCGAAAGTGAAGGTGTTATGCAAATCATCAGGTTTGTAGGATTCTCATAAGATTTCTATTAATTTTGAGGTGAAAATGTAGTTGGGGGAGGGGGGGGCACCCATCCGAAGGCCAGCATATCAAGAAATGAACTCAGTCTCACGTGTTAGCCCTTGTTAAATATATCAGCGCTGTATCGGATGCGTAGAGGATGATG